GCTTTTCAGTTCGCCCCTCCCGAGGGTCTTTTGCAGGCGTTGCCGCAGTTCTGACAGGGCTATCCTCTGCTGGGCGATGATCTTTTCGTGCCGCTCGGATCTGCAGGCCGCGCCGATGGTGGCCATTTCCAGAGCCAGAGGACTGACGCCGGCAGCCTCCGAGGGTTGCTGCTGCTGCTGCTGCAAATGGCGAAGCTGAGCCTCTCTGCTCCGAGTCAACTCAGCTTGCAGGGTTGTCACCTTGCCACGCTCCTCCTGCAACGAATCCCGAGCCTCCTGAGCCGCAGACGTGGCCTTTCTTGAGTAGGGAAGAAGGTATAATGTAAGTCTGGTAAAACAGTCGGCCTTGACCAAGAGCTGATAAGGGACACTGATTGCTCTGCCGATGAGGATCTAATATGTATGCTCACTTCTTTAATTACCCCATGACAGCTACTTATTTGATTTAAATAGACATTTACTGTTTATATTTGAACTTGCGTAGTCAGTTACGGCTTGGATTCAGGACTTAGAGTTCGGGTTTAGAAGTAAGATCAGTGCCTAAAGTTATTGTTTAGATGTTAGAACTAAGAGGTTGGGGTCAGGACTCGCCAGTCATTCAGTGACTCCCCCTCTTAACTGACTGGTTGACTGGTCAGTAAGCGGATAATAGCGAAACCCTGATTCCCTGCTAAGATATCAGCAAACTATAGTAAACCACCGGCAGAAGTGAATTGATATTCTGGAGTCTGAAACAGCGAATTAGACAATCCATCTTCAGAAAGCGGACTGCCTTATGCTGCAACAAGTTCCTGATCATACTTGAGGACGGATGTATAAATACTATAAAGAGTAAAGCCGAAACCAGGAAAGCTACCCTCACGACAAACGAATGCATTCCTCACCGCAATAAATCTGACGTGCTTTAATCCATCATGATGCGGTGAGATCGCAGTGACCAGGTTGCGATGTAACTGGGTCCTTTTCAGGAATGAGAGTCCGGTTTCAATGGGGCTCACTCTATGTGGTCTCAATGGCACGCTTACCGATGTGAGTTTCGAGCAGCTCCTAAAAGTCCAGCAGATGAGAAGAGGGAAACAGTTCATGTGTGGCATGCGTAGACAGACTGTTTAGCTTTGGCAGTGACTGGGTCGGGGCCTTCCTCCGGTCATCTTGACATTGCCTTGCC